CCATTATCCCTATATAGTCCCCTATATAACCCTAATATAACCCCTATATAACCCATCATAGTAGAGTGAACAATTTCCAGCGGCAGGCTGCCAAAGAGGATCTTGACACCGGCATCCCTGTGGTTGGGCAGCTCATTTGCAGTCTTTGAGTTAGGGTGGCCTTTTTTTTGGGTGCTTGCGGTATTCCATGTCATAAAACGAATGCCCTCCAGATTCTGGAGTGGCTACTAGGGATAATGGAAAAGAAAATGGAAACTACTATAATGGGTTATATAGGGTTATATAGGGGTTTGTACAGGGTTTATATAGGGATAATGGAAAAGAAAATGGAAAATACTATAGGGCTTATACCTCCTTATATACTACTTCTTCGTTCAGAGATGGCCAACCCAGCCTATTCAAAATGACACTACCGCCTGCTGCCCAGTGGGAATTGCCCCAAGCCCACCCCTATATACCTGTGCGTTCGGGGGTATGGCAGAGTTTCTTTGGTGTTGGGCTTGGGGGTTGGTGGTTGAGGACTAGGCAGTTGAAGATGTAGAGACATTTGTTGCAAGTGCAGTTTTCGTTAGGATGGGACAGTTCTTTACAGAGTCTGGGTGGTACTTAATCTTATTCTGTCAAAGTTCAATCTCATAAAAGGGGCCAACTCCTACTTACTGAGGGCACCGCTCCTCCTGCCAACGCTCCTGCCACCTCACACCCGCTTCTAGCCGGTAGTGCCTCACAGTTACTGCTGTGATGGACAACTCTCGTATCCTGGGCTACATAGGAGCACTAAAGTCATGGGTTCCCCTACTACCCCCCTCTATACTACCTCCCAGAGATTGCCACTAAATAGTTTTAATCAAAGGGGAACCCAGAAAAGGGAAGTATATGGGGGGTAGTAGGGGAACCGATGATAAAGGCTGACCCTCATCCAAGGAAGCGCCGAGAGGAGCACGCGCGGAGGATTCGGGAACAGTACAGGATGATCGTTGAAGCACGGCTTTGACTGATAGCAGGATGCTACTGTTCTGGACCTTTTGGGCTTGTTTTGTGGCTGCTACCAGTCAGTGTTGTTGTAGGAAACGCCTTCATATCAACATCTACAGCATTTCTATACTGACACCACCAGCAATGATTGCACAACTCTCGATAATGGCAGCGACAGACGTATAAACCGGTGGCCGTGGCAGCAAGCATAGCATCACCAGAGATGTCACTGGTCATATCGTGGCCGTCATCTCAAGGCTATCAGGACCTTGTGTCGCTTGACTCTCAAGTTGTCTGTGAATCTGGTGCAAGCCATCTACACGCAGCTACTCTGCATGAGCATTGCCAAGGAGACTACTCGGCCTTTCATGGAATCTCTTTTGCAAAAAGTCTGAGGAAGTCAACTTGTTGATTATTCCTGCTTTGGTGTCTGGGCAAAATTTGCCAACGTCTTTGCAAGCGCGATCCTTGCAGGCGGTTTAAGACTTCCCGGTAAACACAATGCAGCTTCTTTCCCGGATCAGATTTGAGAAGGCATTCTGCTTGGCGCTTTTGTCCCCATGGCTGAAGTGAATGCCATGTTCTGTAAGCATTGGCGCCGTATATAGAAGACAGTAAGGAAGTCTCGCTCCTCCCTGAGCAGTTCAAGACTGCTTCTTGGCATCGGTTTCAGGCATGACGGTATGTCCTGCGGAGTATTGAATGGGTGAAGCTAAACATATACCCCATGGAAAGGGCTGAGTCATGCTCAAATTGATTACTTCAGAAACTGGAGGTCAACATGCGCTCTCCTATGGTGCGGCTCACCGTGGGGATCTGTTTGCCAGAGGGCGTGCTGCTGATTGTCATGGCCGCAGACCTAGGATCACGGTCTCAGAGAAGGAGTGCATGTTTGAGTAAGACATTGAGGAACCCTTGTGTCAGGTCAAGCAGAAGCTCACGCCATCTGAGCTGGCCTTTACAATCAACTCAGGCCACTGAAGCTCACTGCACTTTGCATGACCTACGACCTGACACAAGCTGTTGGCAGGCTACTTGCGCACCCCAACTGCGAAGAAGGTTCGCGCAGCGTCCTGTCTGCATCAAAATTTTAGCCGTAAAGCGTAGTTGTGGTTCCCTCTGGTAAAAGACAGCATCTGCAGCGCCAGCACAGCTTGTAATGGCCTTTCTCCTGCAAGCACATTGGGACCCCGGTGAGCCTTCAGACTGGGTTGCTGTCAAGGAACTTAATTTAAGTTTCCATATTGGGGGAACCATATTAATTCTATATATAGCCATTATGGTAACTTTTTTTAAGTTCCTTAACAGCAACCCAGCAGAGGACAGCCTTGAGGAGGCTGTGATCTCCTTTGGCATGCCAGTCGGCTTTGCGCCGCTTGGCTGATCAAATTGTGCCGCAGTGGCTGCTGGCTACGGCTAGAGCATATGCGCTAGAATCTAAACTCCTTACAGGGGGTTATATAGGGAATTAAATAGGGAACTATTGTAAGGGATTATTAAGGGGGAGACTAGGAGTTTAGACTATAGTACATATGAACGGACGTTCTGCATAATCATCGCAAGAGCTGCAGCCTTCGAAGCGGAAGAGTGGTCACAATGGCAATAGGACTGATAGCCAGAGAAGTTCTGCCTGACCTCAAGGCGCGAAGTGCTTCTGCAAGAGGTCACGTCGAAGACTTAGCAATGCTTACTGGTGGTTAGCAGGGAATAAGGGAACATAATCCCTATAGTTGCCATATAGTAACATAATCCCTATAGTCCCCATATAGTAACATAATCTCTATAGTTCCTTTATAGCAACATAATCCCTATAGTCCCTATATGGTAATTTTCCCTTCTTCCCTAGTAATCTTCAGTGAGGCTGCGGCCCGTCCTAGTTGGGAAGGAGGGAGTGGAAAAAGAAAATATACTACATGTACTATAGTCTAAACTCCTTAAAGGGGGGTTTATAGGAATAGGGTTTTTCTCGTTGTGGTGACTTACTGTAAGCTCCTTAAGATACTGATACCCGTATTACTACTAATGCTGATACTGATACCAATACTACTGCTGCTGCTGCTACTACTACTACTACTACTGCTACTACTAAAGCTATTACTGCTACTAGTACTAGGCGCCCCCACCTCTACCAACTATGCTTCCCAGATTGCGCATGTTGAAACCATGTAAAAACTGAGGAAATATTGGTTTTCGTGGAATGCCAAAAGGCTTTGTACTTCGTAATACGTGGGGATGCCGGGATGGGGGTGGGGTGGGATAGGGTGGCGAGTGGGGGGGG